TGCTCTTGTGGCCCCCCTGTATTTTGAGGGGCCCAAGCGGCCACATGTTAGATATCCCACCTGGGAGCCCCAAGACGCTTCAGGAAACCCCAGGTGGAGTTCAGGAGGCCACAGGAGGCCCAGGAGGAAGCCCCAGGAGGTCCCCAGGAGGCCCCAGGAGGCCCCAGGAGGCCCCGCAACTCGGAGCTCTGAGACGCCGCGCTCGAGGTGGTCCGGCCCGTTTCGCCTGAGACTTCCTCGCAGCACGTTTCGCCCGAGACATCGTCGCAACTCTGGGGTCCGAAATGCCGCGCGCGAGGTGGTCCAGCCCGTTACGCTGGAGACATCCTCGCAACTCTGGGCTCCGAGATGCCGTTCGGGATGAAGAGGAGGTGGAGGAGGAGGAGGAGGAGGAGGAGGAGGAGGAGGAGGAGGCATGTTTTAACATGCCATGCCAGCCCGCACTGGACGGGCACGCAATCGACCTTGGAAACCGCAGTGGGTCTAAAAACCCTGTTTGGGGATACTGCACTCCGGCTATAATTCCTTTGAATAGTTGAACTTTCCCCAGGGCCATTTTTGACTTTTTCCATAAAAAACATGTGGCCTTCTTTTCCTATTTTCTTTCGCCGCCGAGCGCTATCTGAACTTTGTCCGACCTTGTTTCTCGCTGGCGAATCGTTTCCGAACTCGTCTCTCGTTGCCGAACTTTTGCCGAACTTATTCCAGCAACGTTGAACTTGAACAGTGAGAAAAAAAACATTGGCCTCGTACTTTTCCGAACTGCCTATATATATATATACATATATATATATATATACATATATATATATATATCAGCATAAAGACCGTTCGCGCCCCTTCAGTCTGTTACAAGTCGAGTCTTAGTTAGGGGCCTCGCTTCCTTCTCAGTTCCCGAGGCCGCGCCCGGGGTGGGCGGGGGCGGTGGGCCAGGCGGCGCTAGTTGAACTTCTCAGACAGCGGCCGGCAGCTGAGGAGGCTGAGATAAAGCTCCCCCCTGCCAGGAAAATGCGCTGGCGAGCCCTCGCCTGGGCCGCTGAGAGACGTCGGGTCCCAGCAAGGCGGGCGCCCTTGGGCTGGGGGCTGAACTCGGGGCCCCATGTGAATCTGGTCGGTTCCGATTTCGAACTGCTTCAAAGACGAGCTGCATATCTGTCCAGCGCGCGCATTCACATTCGTCGAAGGTTTCGAGCTCGTCAAACCCAGAGAAGATCCGACGGGCCAGCCGGCGCAGCGCCCCCGAGTGGGCCCGAAGAAGCTCGAGGCGCTGGGCGGACATGGAAGGGTCGCATGTGGCCCCATTTTCTTCGACAAAGAACTTGGACTCCCTGGCGGCAGCGTGCACGAGGTCCTTGACCTTCTCTCGGCGGCGGGTGCTCGTTTAGCTCGTTGGTCTCCGCCAGTGCGTTGAAACTCGGCAGAAACTGCGGGTACCTGTAAATCCGCGGAGCAAGAAGTGGAAGAGGAATGTCACGTGCAGCTTCGCAGTCGCCTTGAAAACCCAGAGAAAGGGGCGATGCACGAGGTGGACAGGGGCGTGATCCGACGGAAGACCACGGTCAGCAATGTCATAATCGGCGGGCGAGAGCGGATCAATGTCGAGCGCGATCGGCACGGGCAAGCTCGCCATAATGCGATCAAATCTAGCGAAGCTCAGGCTAGAGCGAACGTCTGGGCGATGAGTATAACGACCTGGATCAACCTCTAGGTAAGAAAGGAAGGCCGAGTCGAAATGCTCAGCGATCCCCGAGAACACAGCCAGAGTCTCTTCAGGTCCCACAGCTAATCTGATCGCACCCGTCGCAGAGAAAGTGCAGCCGCCAGCGAGGAAGACAGCGGCCAGCAGGTTGGCCGAGGGGTGGGTGCGCTGAGAATAGAGCACAACCTTGGTGCGTGCCTCGCTCCTGTCAAGCACTACATGGACGTCGGCAATCTCGAACCGCCCACGCGAGCCCCAAGACCGAAGTGCCGCGGACCGTCCAGGAAGCACCTCGACGCGGGAGCGGCCATTGAAGAAGCGACCAAGAGAAGATTGAACAACAAGAAGCACCCCACCTGCGCTCTCAATCCTCGAAGGAACGGGAAACCTCGAACTCAGGAAACTCCTTCCGAATAGCTTCCAAATCTCCCAGGCACCCGTGAACCTCCTGCAGAAACACTACACGATGACACCGCACACATTTCCGAAGGACCTCGAATGTGGCCTGTTTACGTGTACCCTGGAGTAGAATCACGCTTGGGAGCTCCATGATTACATCCTGAACACCTTGTCATGTAAACGCGACCTGGACACCCAGCATCAACAACTGAGCGCTGTGCAAGTTTACCCGCGCCTGCAACACTTTGATACTGCCCTCCTGAAGCCTTCTACTGGGTCTCCGCTATGAGATCCTCAACGCCTGCGCAGAGATGCGCCAATCCACGAACTCGTCGCCCACGGGGTGGCATGCGAACTTGTCGACTGAGACTCCGTTGCTCGTGATCAATGCCCAGAAGTCCTCGCCGTCTGGGACGAAGAGGCCACCCTTGAAGCCGTCCGCTCCAACCTTGCAAGTTGTACTTGGGCCCACGTTGCAGCAGCTCCTTTATGGGCACGTGTCGAGAGCTCCCACTGCTTCGCGCGAGCGTCGACGGGGAGAACGTCACGAACTCTGATCGGGTACTGGTTCTGATTTCGGGGATCAGCCCGCGCCGTGGTAGCCGTGCTCGCCTGGAGCTTGAACCCCTTGGCCTTTCCAGCCGTCGGGGAAATAATCGGATACGATTGGGATACCGCATGGAACTCCGCAGCTCGTCGTTCGCGATGGAGAGGTGGGCTTTGACTTGCTCCCAGTGCGCACGCTGGACACGGGCCAGGACGGGACAAAGCCAAATCCCAAACCCATATTATCCGTGCATCAGAATGTGCTGTCGTTGCCACTGTCGAAGCCGTCGACGGAGGTAGCGACCCTGCTCGACGAGACTTGGAACGATCATTGCTGTCCCACAAGGTTGATGAGGCAAGTGACGTACCATCCATACTTTCGAGTTTAGTCATTCGCTCGTTCATGTTCGAATACATCTCATTGTGATCGTTTATCTCTTCGCCTCGTCAAGGGATCACCCGGCAAGAGCAAGCCGAGTGGTTCCTTGATGAAGTCCACAGAACTCCTCTGAAATAAGTGGCATCATGCCACCCATTGTGAGGGGAGCACTTCTCCCGATCGCGGGAACAGGAATGCAGGGCAGCAGAGAGGGATCAGGTTGGTTCAAATGAGCCCTCAGAAATCGCGCCGCCAAAATGGTAATCTGCCAGCTGAGCGAGGTTGGGAAGTTCTGAAGCAAGCCCCTTGAGCAATATGGCTTGAGCCGAATTGCCTTCGGAAGAGCAGATGGAGGAGGAGCAGGAGGAACAGTAGTAGGAACAGGAGCCAGAGGCGGACGAGCAGGTGGAGGACAGAGCGGCACTAGGAGGAAAAAGGATGATGAGAAGGATGAGGAGGAAGGAGGAGGTCAGGAGGATGATGAGAAGGAAGAAAGAAGAGGGAATAGGAGAAGGGTGGAGGAGGGATGATGATGGAGACGATGATGCTGCTGATGATGGTGATGGTGATGGTGATGAGGATGATGAGGGGGATGCGGATGCGGATGAGAATGGTGATCATGATGATGCCGATGATGGTGATGATGTTGATGCTGGTGACACTGATGATGATGCTGATGATGGTGATGTTGACGATGACGCTGATGCTGATGTAGATGATGTTGCTGATGGCGATGCTGGTGATACTGGTGGTGTTGATGACGACGATGATGATGCTGATGATGGTGATGACGATGATTATTATGATGATGGTGGTGATGACGATGCTGATGATGATGATGCTGGTGAAGGTGCCGCAACAGAGGGCGATAACGAGTTTCGGCTGCAGTAATGGTGATGCTGATGTTGATGATGATGATGATGATGATGCTGATGCTGATGATGATGATGATGATGATGATACTGATAATATTGATGATGGTAATGCTGATGATGATGGCGATGATGATGCTGCGGATGATGTTGCCCGTATTGTTAATGCTAATGCTGATGATGCTGATTCTGATTATGCTGATATGACGGTGATTAAGAAGACTATGATGATGTTGATGATGATGCAGATGAACATGATGCTGATGGTGATGATGATGATGATGATGATGATGATGATGTTGATGATAATGAAGATGATGCTGCTGCTGCTGCTGCTGCTGATGATGATGATGATGATGATGATGATGATGATGATGATGATGATGAGAAGAAGGAGGAGGAGGAGGAGAGGAGGAGGAGGAGAGGAGTGGGAGAGGAGGAGTGGGAGGAGAGGAGTGAGGAGGAGGAGGAGGAGGAGGAGGAGGAAGAGGACTGATAGCAGGAGGAGGAGGAGGACGACCACGATGACGAGGGATGATGAAGATGGTGGAGAGTAGGGAGGGACGTGGAGAAGGATAATGAGGAGAAAGGGGAATGAGGAGGAGGAGGAGGAGGAGGAAGAGGAGGAGGAGGAGGAGGAGGAGGAGGACGAGGAGAAGGCGGGAGGAGGAGGAAGGAGGAGGAGAAGGAAGGAGTAGCTCCTGAGGTCTCTGGAAGTCGTTGCCGATATCTCCTGAGGAGGAGCTCCTGAGGTCTCTGGAGGTCCCTGGAGGTCCCTGCAGTCTCTCAAGCTGTTGGCTCCAGGGTCGTTGCTGACGCAGCCATCCCGCCCCCCAGTGGCTGTTGCCCCTCCTCCTCCTCCTCCTCCTCCACCTCCTCCACCTCCTCCTCCTCCTCCCCTCCTCCTCCTCCGCCTTCCTCCTCCCTCCTCCTCCCCCCCCCTCCGCCTCCTCCTCCCCTCCTCCTCCTCCCTCCCCTGTCCTCCTCTCCTGCTCCTCTCCTCCTCTCCTCACAACCTTCCCCACCCTCCTCCTCCTCCTCCTCCTCCTCCTCCTCCTCCTCCTCCTTCTCCTCTGTTTCCCCCGCCCCCCCGCACAGGAGCAGCCTCTCTTCTTGCGCTCGACCGCCTCCAGCATCTGGTCGTAGCCTGCGCGCTTCACGGGGTTCCCGAGCGTCTCGTACGCCGCGTTGATGGCCCTCGCGATGCGGCGCCCGCTCGGCACCCGCGCGGGCGCAATTTTCTGAGGCTCTCTGAGGCGCCGGGGGCGGCAGCCTTCGTGGTGGCGCGGAGCGCTCCTCGGAGGCGAATGGCGGCGCAGCGGCCGCACCAAAGGGGCGGGCAGTAGATCCCGCCGTGACGCGACGAACGCCAGCACAACGCCGGCGGATGAACACATCCCTCGGGGGTCGTCGTCGTCGTCGTCGTCGGAAGAGGACGAGGAGGAGGAGGACGAAGAAGGAAAGGAGGAGGAGGACGGACGACCGACCGACCGACCGACAGACGGACGGACGGACGGCGGACGACGGACGGCGGCGGCGGCAAAGGCATCGGCGGCGACGATGGCGACGGCGACGGCGGCGCCGACGCCGACGGCGGCGACGGCGCCCTTGGCGGCGCGAACCGTCCTGATCTTCTCGTCGGCCTCCTCGCGGTTCGCAGGGTGCTTGTCGGGGTGCCACTGCAGTACGAGCTTCCTGGCAAGCTCGGCGAGGGAAGGGAGGGGAGGGGAGAGGGGAGGGGTACCGTAGGGGATGAAGATAATGATACGAGGACGATACGAGGACGAGGATGAGGATGAGGGTGATGATGAAGATGAGGATGAGGATGAGGATGCTGATGCTGGTGTTGGTGGCGAAGATGATAATGAAGATGGTGGTGATTTTGAGGATGATGATGATATTGCTGATAGTGTTGATGATGGCGATGATGATGCTGCTGGTGGTGATGCTGATTATGATGGTGGTGATGATGATGAAGATGATGCTGATGGTGGTGGTTGTGATGATGCTGACGACGATGATCGTGATCATCATGACGATCCTGACGATGATGATGGTGATGATGGTGATGCTGATGATGACGAGGATGACGATGGCGCTGATGCTGATGCTGATGATGATGCTGATGCTGCTGCTGCTGATGATGATGCTGATGATGATGATGATGATGATGGTGATGATGGTGATGATGATGAGAAGGAGGAGGATGTAGAGGAGGAACGAAGAGGAGGAGGAGGAGGAGGAGGAGAAGGAGGAGGAGAGAAGATGATACCCTCCTTTCTTCATTCCTCCTTTCCCTTGTAGTCCTCCCTATCCCTCTCTCTCTCTCTTTCCTTCCCTGTGTCTCCCTCGCTCCTCCTCCCTCCTTCACCCTCCTTCTCCTCGTTGTCCTCCTCGTGATCCTCTTCCGTCCCGAAGACGAGAAGAAGCGAGCAGGAAGAGCGGCGTCCGAGTACACGAACAAACACCGACCACATCAGAGCAACATGGAGTGGACCGCACCGCAGTCGGAGGAGCACGAGGAGGAGCTGGGGTATGCGGAGAAGGGCGGGACTGGACGACGACGATGGCGATTCGAGCAGTAGCAGTGGTACTGATTCATCCCCTTTCCTCCTCCTCCATCTCGATCATCCCCCCTCCTCGCTTCTTCCCTCACTCCCTCTATCTCCTTCCTTCTCACCTGGTCGTCCTTCATAGTGATCCCTTCTCCTCTCTCCTCCTCTCTTCTCTTCCTCCTCCTCCTCCTCCTCCACCTCTGTCTTTATCGAGAAGGAGGGGGATACGCATGGAGGAAGGGGTGGGGGAGGAGGGGGGGGAGAAGAAGGGGGAGATGAAGGAGGCGGAGGAGGAAGAAGAGGTGGAGAAGGCGGACGACGTGTTCTATCTGGACGCAATTAGCGTCAAGCCCTACCTCCCTTGAAACACCAGCAGCGAGCTCGACGGAAAGGAGGGCCGGCGGGGGCCCAGAAGAGCAAGGTGGGGCGCCAGTCCGAGTACGCAGGGCAAGCTAGGAGGCCGAGGAGGAGGGGGCCTGGGAGGCGGAGGATGAGGGTGGATGGAGGCGGAGAAGGGTGGAGGATCAGATTGGATTGGATGGAACTCGTGGAGCTCGGGCGTGAAAATCGAAGCCGTCGCGAGTGCTGACTTGAAACTGCTGCCTTGAGATGCTCCATTTGCGCAATTTTCTCTTGCGGCTCCAGTCCGTTGTCCTGCTGTGCTGCCCGCATGATCGTCACTGCGAAGACGGGTAAGTGCGGGGGTCCAGGGCTCTGAAAATCGACGCTGTAACCTGTGATCTTAATCGTTATGAGGCCATGGGGGATCTCTTTGTAATGGCGGCCTGCGTCCTCCACCTTGTCCGCGAAGCCTTTTTCGAGGGGGATCGTGGGACAAAGCCGCCAAAGCCGTGCTCGACAATCCCATGAGGTCTTGCCCCATGCATTCATGATGCGCACCGCGCGTCGCCCGTTGGGCCCGGGGTGGCTTTCTTCTTGAGCTGGGCGCCGATGCTGTGATGCAGCGCAATCGGGGCGCGATTGGTCGAGCGCATCTGTCGGGTCGGAAGGCGCTTTCGAGCTCTCGAGTGAATGACTTCATATGGGGAATCGATATATCCCATCCCAGTCAATGGCCGGTGGTTTTCACGTTGCCGAATGGGTTCAGTTACATCAGTCACAGCTCGGGCGGGATGCTGTCGCTCAGTGCTGCTCTCTTGTTCGCGGCCCCACGGAAGGACTCCTGGGTTCTCCAAATGTCGTCACTGGCCGGCGCGCTGCCATCGGCGCTGTGACACGGGCCAGGTCACGGCAATCCTCCTTCAAGTCTGCCGGCCTTTCAGGGCTTGCGGTCGCATTCTGGCAATATACAGTAGGAGGTAAACTCCTTCTTGGTGAACGCGCCTCCTCGTAGCAATCGTCCGTCTCGTTTCCTGTCTCAAAATCGGCGTGCGCTTGCCAGCCGCGTCAGTCCCATTGCTTGAGCTAGTCGTGGGGTGCGCCATTTTTCGTCTACTTCTCTGAAGAATTACTTGCGCTGGCGTCACTGAATCTCTCGTCGTTGTACCCGTAACATCAGGGAAATCTCTTTCGGCTTGAGTTCACGTTGGTCGATATCTTGTGGTTCCGCTTCCGCTCTAGCAAATCTTCGGGCAGCGCGTTCTCGTAGGAGTTGTTCTCTGTGTGTTGGTGTCTGCCCAGTTGCTGTGGCACAAGTTGCTCATCGCCTACATGGTGGGCCTCTACCCCCCGGACGTCGAACTGGTTACGTCCTCCCGCCCGCAGCACTTGAGGATGGTGATTCTGACGCGCCGTCGACGGCAACACCACACCGCTCACCCTCCGGGATTTCGCCTCCGGCTCCTGTCCAAGGTGTACCTTTTCCTGTGCAAGCTCTTCAGCACCGCCTGCACCCCGCGCCCTCCAGTCGCCTGAGGCCCCGCCCGCCCGCGCACTGTCTCCCCAATTAGTGCTTTGCGCGGCCCGCCTAGCTCTTAACCGGAAGAGGCTCGCTCTCGACCCGCAGACCAAAAAAGTCTGCCCAGTTGTCGTCTTCACTGGTCATGGTCACGTTGACGAATCGCTTGCCAGCCCGATTGAGAGTGGCCTCCGAGAAGTCGAGGTATCGTCGGGGCGCCCGCGGTTAGCAGTTATCGCCACGTATCTTCATCATCGGTCAGCGCAAGCCTCACTTCGCACAAAGACCCAAACCTCTGGATACATTGCCTGGGAGCTTCCGTCAACACGCCCATGTTCCACATCTGGCCAGGCGGCTTGGCACAGGGAGATGCACTGACGCATACGAAAAATCCGCCGATCCAGCGTGTGAGTTTCTGAGACCGTGGACTTGAGCTCGCTAAAGCTTCGCTCTGCAAGGGGGGCGGATGCCATTTCCGACACCATTCAGTGCTCGGGAGCCGGGAAAGGGGGTGCGCTGCTCGGGAGCCGTGGACAGGGGGGGGAGGGGGGGGGGACACCATTTCCGACGGACCGGGGGGGGATCGCTGCTCGGGAGTCGTGGACAGGGAGGGGAGCGTGGACTTCAGTTCGCTCAAGCTTCGCTCTGCAGGGGAGGGGGGGGAGGGCGGACACCACTTCCGACGCCATTCAGTGCTCGGTGGGACCCGGGAGGGGGTTCGCTGCTCGGGAACCGTGGACAGAGGGGGGGGGGGACGCCATTTCCGACGCCATTCAGTGCTGCTCGGGACCCGGGGGGGGTTCTGCGGGGGGGGGGGGGGGGGGAACGCCATTTCCGACGCCACTCAGTGCTCGGGAGCCGGAGGGGGGGTTCTGCAAGGGGGGGGGGGGACGCCATTTCCGACAGCATTCAGTGCTCGGAAGCCGGGAAAGGGGGTTCGCTGCTCGGGAGCCGTGGACAAGGGGGGGGGACTCCATTTCCGACGCCATTCAGTGCTCGGGAGCCGTGGACAGGGAGGGCAGGATGGACTTGAGCTCGCTCAAGCTTCGCTCTGCAAAGGGGGGGGTGGGAGGACGCCACTTCCGACGCCATTGAGTCCTCGGGAGCCGGGAAGGGGGGTTCGCTGCTCGGGAGCCGTGGACAGGGGGGGGGGAGGGGGACGCCATTTTCGACGCCATTCAGTGCTCGGGACCCGTGGACAGGGAGGGGAGCGTGGACTTGAGCTCGCTCAAGCTTCGCTCTGCAAGGGGGAGGGGGGGGGGAGGGAACGCCATTTCCGACGCCGTTCAGTGCTCGGGACCCCGGGGGGGGGGTTCTGCAAGGAGGGGCGGGAGACGCCATTTCCAACGCCATTCAGTCCTCGGGAGCCGGGGGGGGGCTCGCTGTTCGGGAGCCGTGGACAGGGGGTGGGGACGCCATCCGCTATCATCACCACAACCACCATCACCAGCATCACAATCCTGATTCTCGTCATCACCATCACCATCTGCATGCTCTTCACCATGGCCATTACCAGGATAAACAGAATCATAATCATCATCAGCTTCATCAATCGTATCATCAACATCCCCATCCCTATCTCCATCCCAATCATCATCATCATCATCATCATCATCATCATCATCATCATCATCATCATCATCATCATCATCATCATCATCATCATCATCATCATCATCATCATCATCATCAGCATCAGCATCAGCATCATCATCATCATCTGCATCAGCATCTCCGTCATCATCAGCAACATCATCACCATCAATATCAATATCAATATCATTATCAATATCAATATCACTATCAATATCATCATCATCATCGTCGTCATCATCATCATCATCATCATCATCATCATCATCATCATCATCATCATCATCATCATCATCATCATCATCATCATCATCATCATTATCCGGAGCGCCCCAGATCGGCGGCACTGGCTGGAGGCCAGCACAATATCCACGTACGCTCGAACACGGTCTCGAAGAAATGCGCCGCGATGTGCAAAAATTGATGCCCCGAACCTATATGGTGGCGCGCACTGCAGCAGTAAGTCGCTCATGCAAGAAGGGGCGCACGACAAGTCAATGCAATGTTGTCTTCCAGTGCCGCTTGAGAAAAGTGGTTGAATAAGCTGGTGGTTTTGCCACGGTTAACCGACTGAGTTGGTGTCCGCTAGGGTCCATGCGCATGAAGCTCTGTTCAATCCCTGTCCGTCGGCAAAGGCTGTCCAGAGGATGGGGGCACCTCGATCGGGGGGGTCCGACAAGACTTGGACATAACAACTGGTCAATGTGTTGGTGGTTTGGATGTAGTTGTATTCTTCGCAAGCTAAACGTGGCTGCGGCGGGAAATCCAGCACCATATGTGGGACGCCTGCAATTCCGCGTTGTAATCGAACCGCCATCGCTCGGCCCATGGCCCTGTCAGGGCTGCTCCATATACGTCAGATGTGCTTTTCAGAAGGCGACAGGTGAAATATCACTGGGCAGCCCGTCGGTTTGTTGTTTAGTATATGGTCAAATCCCCGCTTCTGCTTCCAAGGCAAGGCGAGTCGTCGGCCCACTTTCCATGATAGGATGTGCTCGCATTTTCGGTGGGCTGCTTGGGTACATGCGAGAATAATGATGCCAACTCTCGGGCAAACTCCACTCGCACGCCTGGCGCATGCAACTGGCTGAACCCCAGCAAGCGGCGGCTCATCGGCCAACAAGCCGCCACGGTGTTCGGTGGTGATGTGCCAAAGGGGTCCCCTGGTGGACCAAATTTTGTCGCCTGAGAAATGTATCGTGCTGTCTCGGCGACCAGGAGGGTGGAAGAGGCGGGGGAACTTGAGGAGGGGGAGGATGAGGACGGAGGAAAAAGGATTGAAACATGAACAGGAAGACTGAAACATGAGGATGACGACGACGACGACGAGACGACCGTAAGAAGGGCGGAAGAGGAGGAATGTGAGGATGAGGAGGACGGGTGGAGGCGATGGGTGTGCAGAGGCGGCGGCAGCTCCTGTAACTCTTCTTAATCGCGGCGTCGTCGCCACCCCGCTCGACCTGCGCCGTCGCGACGCGGGATGGGGGCGCGGGTTCGTCGATCTCGGACGGGCTGGACTCGTACTCGCTCCACCGGGAGGAAGGATGTGCGGGGGGAGGATGGATGAGGGAGCGGGGGACGGGGAGGAGGGAAGCGGGAAAAGGAAGAGGGAGAGTAAAAAAAAACACAAGAAACGGGCGGGAGGACACTGGGACAACGACTTGGGGACAGGAACGGTCTGACGGGACCTGTCAGTGCAAAGTTCTTAGAACATGGAGCGACCCAGGCCGACAATGCATCAGTTCCGAGACTCAGCGAGGTAGGCAGCACACGTGGCCCCACTGGCTGGGTGTTGACCTTCTGCTAGCCAGTCGCGGGCTCGCCGACGGGCATGGTTCGGGGGCGTCGCCGCGCAAGTATGCCCCAAGGCCTCGAGATTTGGGGACCCTCGGACCATTCTCGAACCGCACGGACCGCAACACACCGTCGCGACAATAGTTTGGCCCACTGATCTTGCCACGGCGAATGAAAGCGAGAGCGTCGCAAGACTTGCGATGCCCCCCCTCCCCGGTAGACTCCTGCACCAAAGCGACAAAGCGTCGCGGTGACGCAGCCGCGGCGGAATGAACGAATTCTTTCACTGAGACTAATGAGCAGTAGCTGTTGACTTCAAGAGATTAATTATCCCACCTTTTTTGGACGCGCGGAAACTTCTTCCGCGCCAGCGCGAGGGAACTCCACTGGGTAAGTACAAGCAAATGGGCATAAACTGTCGCCCCGCCGGAGGGGCATCCAGCACCGTTTGTTGCAGGCCTGGCGCCTTCAACCGTAGGTTGCATTTTCACCTCTTCCTCCGCCCCGCGCCTGCCAACCCCCAAAAATCCCGCTGCGTTGCGTCCGCGCGGCGCCGTGCATCGCGAGACGGATTTCTCTGGCGCACTTTCGGAACGCCGATGGCCTCCAAAAGCAGGACGTCACAGCAGTGCTCTCGCCCGACGGCGGCCCCGGCCGCGCCCGAGCAGCGTGCGGGGCGCAATTTTCCTGGCGTCGCCGCGACCGAGCAGCGTGCCAGCTCTTGCGGTTAGACTTTCGAATCGGCGGCGGCGCGTTGCTGACCGCTGCCCCCTGGGCAGATGGGCGCATGGTTGGAACGAAGGCGCGCCAGGGGCCGAACAGGCCCTTGTGCGACGGAGAGAAGCCCGCGCTCTGGCCCTGGTGCGACGGAGAGAAGCGGCGCTCTGGGGCCACCCCCATACACGCCCCCAACTCAGCATGCGGGGACAACAAGATCACCTCCTCGCCGCGCCCGGCGCCCGCTCCGCGACCGAACCCTGGAAAGGCACACCCCGCCGCGACAATGGTTTGGCCCACTTGTCTTGCCGCGGCGAACGCAGGCGAGAGCGTCGCGAGACTTGCGACGGCCCCCCCCGCAGACTCCCGCGCCAAGACGACGAGGCGCCGCGGAGGCGCAGCCGCGGCGGAAGGAACATATTCGCCCACTGCTACTGACTAGTAGTAGCTGTTTATTTCATTGGATTTGTTATTCCACCCGTTTTTCTTTGGCGCATGGAAAATTCCCCCGCGCCGGCGCGAGGGAACCCCGCTGGGAAAACAAAGGGGCCTAAACTTTCGTCCCGCCAGAGGGGCATCCAGCGCCGTCTTGGCAGGCCTGGCGCCTTCAAGCGCGGGTTGCATTTTCACCTCTCCCTCCGCCCCGCGCCCGCCGGCCCCCAGAGGTCCCGCCGCGCTTCGCCCTCGCGGCGCCGTGCATCGCAAGACGGATTTCTGTGGCGCGCACTTTCGGAGCGCCGATGGCCTCCAAACGCAGGACGTCACAGCAGTGCTCTCGCCCGACGGCGGTTCCTCGGCCGCGCCCGAGCAGCGCGCGGGGCGCAATCTCCCGGGCATCGCCGCGCCCGAGCAGCGTGCCAGCTCTTGCGGCTAGACTTTCGAATCGGCGGCGGCGCGTTGCTGACCGCTGCCCCCTGGGCAGATGGGCGCATGGTTGGAAGGCGGGCGCGGCGGGGGCCGAACAGGCCCTTGTGCTTCGGAGAGAAACGGTGCTCTGGGCCCGGTGCGACGGAGAGAAACGACGCTCTGGGGCCACCCCCTACCTGCTCCCAACTCAGCATGCGGGGGGCAACAAGATCACCTCCTCGCCGCGCCCGGCGCCCGCTCCGCGACCGAACCCTGGAAAGGCACACCCCGCCGCGACAACGGTAGGGCCCGCTTATCCTGCCGCGGCGAATGAAAGACTTGCGACGCCCCCCCCCTCCCCCCCCCGGTAGACCCCCGCCGCACCAAGACGACAAAACGCAGCCGTGGCGCAGCCGCGGCGGAAAGGGCAAATTCTCCCACTGAGACTCACGAGCACTTGCCGTTGATTTCAAGGGACTGATTCTCCCGCTTTTTCTTTTGAGCGCATGGAAAATTCCCCCGCGCCGGCGCGAGAGACTCCGCCGGGGGAAAAACATAGGGGCCTAAACTTTCGCCCCGCCGGAGGGGCAATTATCCGGCGCCGTTTTGGCAGGCCTGGCGCCTTCGACCGTAGGTTGCAGCGTCGCCTCCCCCTCCGCCCCGCGCCTACCCCCCCCTAGAGATCCCGCCGCGCTGCGTCCGCGCGGCGCCGTGCGTCGCAAAGACGGATTGCTGTGGCGCGCACTTTCGGAACGCCGATGGCCTCCGAGCGCAGGACGTCGGAATGGTTCTCTCGCCCGTTGGCGCCCCCGGCCGCGCCCGAGCAGCGCGCGGGGCGCAATTTGTCCAGCGTCGCCGCGCCCGAGCAGCGCGCCAGCTCTTGCGGTTAGACTTTCGGGTCGGCGGCGGCGCGTTGCTGAACGCTGGCTCCTGGCAGACGGGCGCGCGGTTGGAACGAAAGCGCGGCCGGGGCCGAGCAGGCCCATGCGCGACGGCGAGATGCGGCGCTCTGGCCCTGGTGCGACGGAGAGAAACTGCGCTCTGGGGCCACGCCCTGCATGCCCCAAACTCAGCACGCGGGGGACAACAAGATCACCTCCTCGCTGCGCCCGCCGTCCGCTCCGCGACCGAACCCTGAAGAAAAATCACCGCTCGCTTATCTTGCCCCAGCGAATGCGAGAGCGTCGCGAGACTTGCGATGGCCCCCCTCCCCGGTAGACTCCTGCACCAAGACGACGCAGCGCAGCGGTGGCGCAGCCGCGGTGGAAGGAAAACATTCTGCCACTGAGATTTATTGGTAGCAGCTGTTTATTTCAGTGGATTAGTTCGTCCGCCTTTGTTTGGGCGAACGGAGGATTCTGCTGCGCCGGCGCAAGGGGGCCCCGCTGGGAAAAGCAAAAAGGCCTAAACTTTCGCCCCGCTGGCGGGGCATCCAGCGCCGTTTCTTGTCGGCCTGGCGCCTTCAACCGCAGTTTGCATTTTCGCCTCTCCCCCGCGCCTGCCGGCCTCCAGAGATCCCGCTGCGCTGCGCCCGCGCGGCGCCGTGCGTCGCAAGACGGATTGCCGTGGCGCGCGCTTTCGGAACGCCGATGGCCTTCGAACGCGGGGGGTCGAAATGGGCGCTCTCGCCCGGAGGCGGTTTCTCGGCCGCGCCCGAGCAGCGTGCCGAGTGCAATTTTCCCGACATCGCCGCGCCCGAGCAGCGTGCCAGCTCTTGCGGTTGGACTTTCGGGTCGGCGGCGGCGCGCTGGTGACCGCTGACTCCTGGGCAGATGCGCGCACGGATGGAACGCGAGCGTGGCGGGGGCCGAGCGGGCCCTTGCGCGACGGAGAGAAACGGTGCTCTGGGCCCGGTGCGACGGAGATAAACTGCACTCTGGGGCCACGCCCTACATGCCCCAAACTCAGCACGCGGGGGACAATGAGATCACCCCCTCGCCGCGACCGCCGTCGGTTCCGCGACCGAACCCTGAAAATTCACACGCCGCCGCGACCATGGTTCGGCCCGCGTATCTTGACACGGCGAATGAAGGCAAGAGCGTCGCGAGACTTGCGATGGCCCCCCCATTCCCCGCAGACCCCCGCGCCAAGACGAGAGTGCGCAGCGGCGGCGCTGCCGCGGCGGATGGAGAACATTCTGCCACTGAGACTAGTTAGTCATTGCGGTTAGTTTCAAAATATTAGTTATTCCGCTTTGGTTTGAGCGAGCGTAAAATTCTTCCGCGCCGCGCGAGGGAACTCCCCTGGGAAATGCAAATGAGCCTAAATTTTCGACCCGCCAGAGGGGTGTCCAGCATCGTTTTTTCGCGGGCATGGCGCCTTCAACCGCAGGTTGTAATTTTCGCCCCCCCCGCCGCCCCGTGCCCGCCAGCTTCCAGAGATCCCGCTGCGCCGCGTCCGCGCGTCGCCGCGGGTCGCAAGACTGATTGCCCAGGCGCGCACTTTCAGTGCGCCGATGGCCTCTGGAGTCAGGACGTCGGAAGGGTGCTCTCGCCCGGCGGCGGTGTCTCGGCCGCGCCCGAGCAACGTGCCGGGCGCAATTTCCCCGGCATCGCCGCGCCCGAGCAACGCGCCAGCTCTTGCGGTGAGACTTTCGGGTCGGCGGCGGCGCGTTGCTGACCGCTGACCCCTGGGCAGATGGGCGCGCGGTTGGAACGAGAGCGCGGCGGGGGCCGAGCAGGCCCATGTGCGACGGAGAGAAAACGGCGCTCTGGCCCCGGTGCGACGGAGATAAACTGCACTCTGGGGCCTCCCCTGTGAATGCCCCCGGCTCAGCATGCGGGGGACAACAAGATCACCTCCTCGCCGCGCCCGCCGTCCGCTCCGCGACCGAACCCTGAAAATTCACACCCCGCCGCGACAATGGTTTGGCCCGCTTATCTTGCCTCGGCGAATGAAGGCGAGAGCGTCGCAAGACTTGAGACGGCCCCCCTCCCCGGTAGACTCCTACATCAAGACGACGCAGCGCAGCGCTGGCGCAGCCGCGGCGGAAGGAAAACATTATGCCACTGAGATGAACTAGTAGTAACTATTTACTTCAGGGGATGATATCTTTCGCTTCTTCTAGACGCATGGAGAATTATTCCGCGCCGGCGCGAGGGAA